TTCACCCCCAAAATGCCTGCAACAACCATGGCTAGCCTGAAGCCAGGAGCTAGAAACTCAGTTGAGGTCTTCTGTATGGGTGGCAATGATCCAGATACTTTGAGCCATCACCTGCAACTCCCAAGACATATGTTAGAATGAAGCAATCAAGAGCAGAGTCGGGGTGCAAATCCAGGCACTCCAGTACTGGATGTAGGCATTCCAAGCTATGGCTTAACCACTGCACCAACAGCCTCCTTCTTCCCTTCCTTTTAAGAGCATTCAAAGGATGTTTTAGTATATAGCAGTCATAAAATCAAGGAGTGACTTTAATGTGTAAGCTAGTCATGAGAATCATGTCCCTTATACCTAAATAAAATAAATCAAGTACTTGACTAGTGTACTTTGAAATATGCATGATTCTCACTGAACCGATTTTACTCCATCTTCCAGGAGCCAGGGCTACAGAAAAATCCATGAGTTATCTAGCAAACCTCTGATACCACACAGGGAGATGATGATATCTTGAACAGAAAAAAAAAAATAAATAACTGTGGTAAGGTTGAAGGTTATGGTCATGGCCAGATTTAAGGGGGAAGAGGAGGAAGAGTCACAACGAAGTAAAAGAGGCAAAAGGAGATAGCAAAGGTCCGTGAGTGTGGAGTGCCATGGGAGGCGAGAGAGGGAATTTTCAAGCAAGAGGAAGTAACAGCAAGAAATGCTGTTATCAAAAAATCATGATAAATAGAAAACACCAATCAAGATGGTGAAAGTAAGTCTATATATGCCACTAAACAAAATAAATTTAATGAGACTAAACTAACTTATTGATGGAATAGAGATTCTCAGATTGAATTAAACACAAACTGTCCAAACACAGCATAATCACGCTTACACTTTAAGTTTATATCTAAAGACTCTGAAAGGCTGAAAGTAAAAAGAATATATATGAATATTTAAACATAAATATGTTTCTTAAAATAGATTTTAAAACTCAGTATACAGTGATTAAAAGGTGTCATTTTTAATGATGAAGGATGACCTAACTAGTAAAATAAAATATTCTTAAATCTGAATGATTATAAGGCATTCTAAATATTTATAAAGGTATCCGAAATGAAATAGAACTTGGCTTAATTACAAGGAGAAATGCCAAATCCTCAAGTTTACAGAATGAATTGTCATTATAATTCTGGAACTGAGGGAGCAAGCAGATAAAAAGATATCTAAGGATATAAAAATTTGAGAGATATAATTGTATGGTGCTCTAAGCTCAACATTTAAAGAATGGTATTCTTTCTCAAAACTGAACTTATATTGGTCCACAAAGGGAGTCTTTAATACCAAAGAATTAAAATAATATCACACCAGGTGCTTTTCTAAAAATAATATTGAACGAACACAAAAGTAATTCTTAGAATTAAAAATATGGTAGCAGAAGAAAAAGCTCACGAGAATGTTTAAAAGATAAAATTGAAGAAATCTCTCAGCCTGTAAAACAAAACGACAAAGAGGTATAGAGGAAAAGCTAACAACAGGAGAGTATCAGTAGAATGGTTCTAACATTCCCAGAATAGGATTCTCCCCAAAAGACAGTTTAAAAATAAATAAATAAATAAATTCTTTAAAATAAATAAGTAAGACCAAAATGCCAAGACAGATGGACTCCAAAAACAGTATGAGAAGGTCTGTCAGGGGTCAGGATGCCTGCTGACCCCACGCTGTGCTGCTCACTTGAGGGCAGGACTCTGGCTAACATGCCTCTTTGTGCTTCACTTAACATGTCCAAACCATGAAGAAGTCGCTGATCTCTCTTCCATGCACAGTCACAGAAGTCCATACCCCTAACCCCATTCCCCCTGGACATCCAGAGCCTGTGCCACAAGAGGGTCTCACAAGATACCCTGATTCTAGTAAACTTCATGTTTCCTAGGACACACTTGTGACCCCCTAACCTGACATCATCAGAATGGGCTATAAACAAGTAAAAAAATTGTCAAGGATACGAACCCAGATTCTGACTCAAAGTTTCTTTTCCGCTTACTTTCTCCTGGAAATATTATCCTTTCATTGCAATGCTAGATTTGGGTTGATGAGTATTTCTGAAACTTTATGAATATAAACAAAACAACTCTAAAGAAAAGCAGGGAGGGGCCAGTGTTGCGGTATACAGGGTTAAGCCACCACCTGCGATGCTGGCATCCCATATAGGCCTTGGTTTGAGTCCCAGCTGCTCCATTCCAATCTATCTCCTTGGTGTGTGTCTGGGAAAGCAACAGAGATCCGTGCACCAATCTGGGAGACCCAGAAGAAGCTCCTGGCTCCTGGCTTTGGCCTGGCTAACCCCCGACCATTGCAGTCATTTGGGGAATGAACCAGCAGATGGAAGATCGATCTCTCTCTCTCTCTCTCTCTCTTTGACTTTCAATTAAATAAATAAAATCTTAAAAAAAAAAGAAAGAGGAAACAGTTAACTGAAATCAATAAACCAGTTGATTGAAGAAGTAGGGGATGTGCTGGGACAGGAACTAATATGATGGTAAAGTTTTACTTTATTTAAAAGTGGTGAATACACGGCAGTTTGTTTGATTATAGTTGTCAAGTTGTACGTACATATTTTATATATTGTTATGGTTTATGAGATATTCAAACTTTGTTTTTTGACAGGCAGATTTAGACAGTGAGAGAGAGAGAGAGAGAGACAGAGAGAAAGGTCTTCCTTCTCTTGGTTCACTCCCCAAATGGCTGCTACAGCCAGAGCTACACCCATCCAAAGCCAGGAGCCAGGTGCTTCCTCCTGGTCTCCCATGCGGGTGCAGGGCCCAAGCGCTTGGGCCATCCTCCACTGCACTCCTGGGCCATAGCAGAGAGCTGGATCAGAAGGGGAACAACCAGGACTAGAACCGGTGCGCATTTGGGATGCTGGCACCACAGGCGGAGGATTAACCACGTGAGCCACGGCGCTGCCCCCCACCCCAGTGATGTACTTTAACATCAGAAAATCAAATGCTGCCAGTTAATTTTATGAATGATGAGAAAGTCACACTTTTTATTAAGTGGGTACCTACCTTCAAGAGTGCCAGCACACAAATAGTTTAAAGATAATGAGTATGGGTTCTATCACTGCCTCACTCTTTGCAAAGGTGAAATCCCCCACCCTGTAGCTGTCGGGTTTGGCCACAGACTTGGTTTGCCAGTGAAATCCAACAGTAAGCATGTAAGTGGCATGTGCAACTTCTGAGCAAAACCTTAAAGGCATTCCATGGTTCTGCTGTATAGGGGGTAGCACAACAGACACGTGTAGTCTGACCTACTCATCCTGTCCAGGTCTCAGGATTTCAGCTGAGCAAAAAAACATGATCATGAGATCACAAAATAAGCCTTTGTTGTTGTAAACTGGGGTTGCCTGTTAGGCTAAGCTACCTTTGAGAGAGCTAGCTGTGCAGTGAGGAAGGGAACAAACAGAAGTCTACGGTTACAGCCAGCAAGGAAAGGATCTGGTTACTCTAAATAAGGTCATATTGAGAAGCAGAGATGAATATTAAAGGAAGTCTCGAAATCCAAATTAGAGAGGAGAATGACAGATGGCACAAGGTACTACAGGCAGGCCGAGTCCAGCACCAAGGACAGAGGGCAGAGGGTGAGTCTCAGAGAAGAGAGAGAGAGTGCTCTGTCAGAGGCAAATAAAGCCCTCTATTTTGGTAAAAATAGCATTGAAAGGGGGAAATTTGAGCAAGCAGGAGGAAGAGAGTCCCTATGTTTTGAGAAGGTCAGAGGTGAGGGCAGCTGCTGGGAGCGAGATGTGGACACGGTGTGAAGGAGGCACTGAAGAGTGGGGCTGGCTTTGAAGCAGCAGCCAGCCCAGTCCGTGTACACAGGGGGACTTCACTCCCTGATGCCCAGCCAGTGAAATGCCGACCCAGTATCTGTTATGAATCACAAAAGTTACATAAAATTACCACCAGCTCCTGTTTACATAAGGAAAATGTTGATATAGGCTGCCTTCTTACTAGCCTGTATCTGGCCTTAGAACTAGGAGGGTACTTGAAAAACTATGTGGAAAAATAGAATTAAAAGATAAGCTTATCGAGCCGGCGCCGTGGCTCAATAGGCTAATCCTCCACCTTGCGGCGCCGGCATACCGGGTTCTAGTCCCGGTTGGGGCACCGGATTCTGTCCCGGTTGCCCCTCTTCCAGGCCAGCTCTCTGCTATGGCCAGGGAGTGCAGTGGAGGATGGCCCAGGTGCTTGGGCCCTGCACCCCATGGGAGACCAGGAAAAGCACCTGGATCCTGGCTCCTGCCATCGGATCAGCACGGTGCGCCGGCTGCAGCGGCGGCCATTGGAGGGTGATCCAACGGCAAAGGAAGACCTTTCTCTCTGTCTCTCTCTCTCACTGTCCACTCTGCCTGTCAAAAAATAAAAAAAAACAAAAACAAAAAAACAAAAAGATAAGCTTATTTTGGTGCAAAAAAATAAAAATTCATGATGTGGTTTTTTTCACAATACACATTTTTTTCATGAATTTTTGAAGATCTCATAGTTTCTTTACCAATATTTTCAGGAAATTAGTACAACAAATTATACTATTTGCAAAGAACATTGAAAGAAAACTTTTTCTAAAAACTTTTTGCTAAAAATCATTTTTAAAAACTTTGATAAGATTGAATGGATTGGATATTTTAGGCATATTTGAGTTTTTGAATTTTCACAGATTAAACATTAAGATATTTTTGACAATGTGATTGAATGGGTGAATTTAAAGGAAATAAATGATTTAGAAACCAGGTATAGTTTCACAGCAAGATTTGCTAAATCCTTTATTATCAACTGTGCTAAATTAGTCTACTAAAGCCCTAAAATCTTTGGTTTCAGATTCATTTTAGCTTATAATTATAATATTATTACATTTCTTTATGAAATACTATTTGCATGTGATTTCCATAAAATCTTTACAGCAAATCTAACAGTACCATGTAATCTGTGTGAAATTAATAAAAGAAAATTTTACTCCATAATCACCCTTGTAAAGAGAGGTTCCAAGCCATTTGGAGCTGTGATTGGACGAAATCTTCTCCTTCTCCATGTTTCAGATCTATTTTCTTTGGCGATTTTTCCATTTAGGGGAGGAGGTGGAGGAGGAATAGGCATCAAATAACTGCTAATGTTCGGAAGTTGATATGGATTCATTCTCTGTGAATTGTCTGTGGAGTTCCTGAACTTCATCATGGCCTTCTTGCCCTATAATCACATTTCATGACATAAGAACCAATGAAACAGAACTGGTGACCCCGTGTAACCCAAAATCAAAGATAGCTTGAATGATTGACATTGCGGACACCTGATATCAAGAAACTCAAAATGCTCCAGTCTGGTTTTTAAAAAATGGCACTTTGCAGTCATTTCATAGCAAATTAACTATTCATAAGTTTCTAAATTTATATAGTATAGTTTTACACTAACAAATAGGGATGGCAGTTTTATAATAGTACTTTGAGGACTTTCCCTCAGCAAATCATTACAGGAACCCAGTGCAATTAAATAATTTAAAACCAAGAAGTTTGCAGAGTTGTATTTGAAACAAGGTTTTTAAAATGTACTTTAACATGTTATTGCATAACATTTTAAACAATACTGTGTTAAATACTTGGGCACCTTCCAGTTGTTCATTATTACAAATATGACAGCACACAACATTGTTGAATCCATTTTTTTACATTTATGTGTGTATTCCTAGGATAAATTCCTCTATGTTAAAACAATTGAGAATGTTCATTTGAAGTTGTGATAAATATTCCTCTATTGCCTCCACAAATAGTTGTACAAACAATTTCTACTGCTACTAATGGTATAAGAGAAACTATCTTTCTGAGGATATTTACTTTCAATCAATTAATTATCTTTACTCAGTTGAATCTCTGTCCACATTTTTTACCCCATTGCTTTTGCCAAAATCAAAGACCCTCACTCCTGCAACTTAGCAAAGTTCAACCTGCTTATATCTATGGCATGTTCAAATACTTTCCACATGCAAATCTTTTACTCTTTAAACATAATAAAAATTTATTAAGTGCTTCCTACATATTCACCAGTCATGTAGACTAGTATTCTTTTTAAGGAATTTCTTGTCTGGTTCTATATTTTCATCATCAGTGTCATTGACAATAATTGTGTATCTTTTCTCCCAGTATGTGTTTCATATATATATTTTACAGTAAGCCTCAATGTTACTTTTGACTGCCTTGATAACTGATATATCATCAATGCCTATATCAGCACCTAGGCACAGTAGGTATTCAATAAATGTTTATTGAATAAAAATTGAGTTTAGCTAATTGAAATGTGAAGTTTATCTTAGTCCTGTCAGCATTCATGAACTGCCAATAAGTGCCTATCTACCAAAAACTTGGAAACAGGGAAAGACCTTATATAGCTTTAATGAGTAAATCTATCCACTGGCTGAGTGGATTTGGAAAATCAGCTGAAAATACTACCACCAAAAACTGCTCTCAAACCAGTAGAATGTGAATATTTCCTGACTGATAGTGTTCACGTATCTAACAAAAAAATGTATCGATCAAAGACAGAATTGGTAATTATAGGAGCTTAGAAAAGAATACAATATTAGGAAAAGTGGAAAGTACTCATCTGAGTACTATCTAGGGAACAGGAACTACTCTCCATGAACTTTAAACATTTCCAATCCTAACGGCAATGTTCTCCTTGGAGGACAGAGAGTTTTAGCCAAAGACCTTGAGTTTTCAGGTACCTTTGGCAAGCCAGTTCTTAGGATGAGATGAGTGAATCAGACCATCTTGGTCTGACATGTTAACATTCCATATGCCATATCCCCCTCATTCTGACTCCATGTTCACCAGGCAACCTTCTCATTATGGCTTCACTTCCCATTCAGGTCTGCCTACAAAGGGAGAACACACTACTTTTACAAGCTTTGACTGTTTGATACCTGTTGGTGACCTAATGACCTAATCATGATTTAGTTCCTATTTTGGCTTATTTTAGAGATAAAAATGAGCTTGTTGTAAACTTCAGTTAATCTGAAACAATCTTAGCACCTGACCATTTCTGGACACTGGCTGACACTGGAAATTTGTGCCTTCAGAATGGAGAGCCAATCCTAGAAAATGCCAGACTAATTGATTTATGACATTATAAGTTTCTACTGAGCTCTAAGTAGTCTCCTTAAACAAAGCAACATCACCTTCAGATTAATTCTCCCGCCATCTGGGAAACTACTATTAAATTACTGAAGCAAGGTTGGTAAATAGTACTTCGCAAGCTGAAAAACACATTAAATCGATAATATTATTTTTAGTTATATTTATACTTGTGAAACAATGATATTTTTAATTAATTTCTTAGTGGCAAGCTTGTCTGTCAGTTAAGGATTTAAAATATCTGAGATATCTCATATTTCCTAATAAGAAATGGAATGTAATTCACCTATTTTAACATAATGACGATCATTCTTATAACACAGGCTCATTCTTAAGCTGGCAAATGCTTCTTGTTCCTGTTATAAATACAAACAATATCCTCCCTAATTAGTGAATGTTCTAATTATCCCTCCCTATTTAAGTAACTCGTATTTCATGGTTACCATACCTCCTTCCTGTGCTCTATTGAAATAAGTGAAAATTATCTGAGACATAACCGTGAAAGAGAAGCGGAGTCCAGCTCCTGGGTGTGATTAACTCAGCATTTTTAAAGACGGACATTCAGTTCCTTCTATATTCAACCTTCGAAGAGTCAAACTTGAAGCAATTTCATACACTGATGGGAAAGTAAGTCGGCATGCAAATGCAAACCTATTCTTGGAAAGTTTCATTTTCTAGGTTTCATGCATTTAAAATTTGGAAGGAGTCAACATTGGGTCTTTTCTGATAGAAGTCATATCTGGCTATGAAGTCTTTCCTCTTTGTTTTTCAATTAGCCTTTCAAATTAATTGGAACCCATCACACATTTTAAAAAATCTATTCCAACTCTTTGTACTCAATAATAAAGAAACTACAGGCCTTCACTTAGAGTATCATATAATTTATCAAAAGTACATAGCAACTACTTAATAAAGGCACAGCATGAACTCCATGAAATGGATTAATGAATATAGCATATTAAGAATTATGATAACCTAATGTTTTAATTAATAATTTTAAAATATTTCTTGGCCAGCACCACGGCTCACTTGGCTAATCCTCCACCTGCGGCGCCAGCACCCCAGGTTCTAGTCCCGGTTGGGGCGCCGGATTCTGTCCCGGTTGCTCCTCTTCCAGTTCAGCTCTCTGCTGTGGACCAGGAAGGCAGTGGAGGATGGCCCAAGTGCTTGGGCCCTGCACCCGCGTGGGAGACCAGGAGGAAGCACCTGGCTCCTGGCTTCGGATCAGCCCAGCACGCCGGCTGTAGTGGCCATTTGTGGGGTGAACCAACGGAAAGGAAGACCTTTCTCTCTGTCTCTCTCTCTCTCTAACTCTGCCTGTCAAAAAAATAAATAAAATAAAATATTTCTTGAATAAAATGACATTTACCCCAATAGGAAATGGAGCTTCATTTTCCAGGATTGAGGTTTTGGGTCTGGACCCCGGCGTAATCTTTGGAACCGTTCTTATAGCTGGATTACTGGGAAGAGGCTGCAATCGAATTGGAGGCTGCATATTTCCCGGAGCAGTATATGGTCGAGGGGCTGTCTAGACAATTAGGGGGAAAATTCCACATAAATTAATATCTTGACATGTTTCCAGAACCAATTAATAACCCAACAAATTGCCTAGAGTAATTAATGGTGCCTTTTTACTGCACAAATTAAACTTTAATTATGTCCTTCCATTATACATACCCTTATGACCCAAAGTATTTGTTAAAACATATGGTGTTGAAGTCCTCTACATAACTAAATGCCACAATTATAGAGTATTGTAGACAAAAGAGATGTCCTCTATTACATTCCTGTATTTTTATTCATATTATAAATTCACAGGCAATATCTAATTTATGCTCTGCATAGACTGGCTTTGCTCAATTAAACGTTAAGTTAAATAATGTTCCTATTTTAAAGGTTTGAGCGGATATTATTGGAATGGACTCACTTCTGTTTCAAAGTTTTCAATAAAAGCTCTATTCTGAGTCTTTTAAGACTTAAGATTAAAATTGGTACTGAAGTTAAAGCAGACAATAGGATTCAAACAAGGAGAAAAGATGGATGCTTAACTGTAATTCATTACCATTTATTCAACTGCTTTCTTGAAATTTTAAGAAAACATAGATGAGAAACTATAACTGTCAACTTTGGCAAGCACTGTATAAATATGGGTGTTTTCTAATTTCTCCACTAGGTCTACTATCCACCTTCTTTGGTTTGGTGGGGCACCAGGGAGTCATCCATTTAGAACTACACCAACTAACCTCAGCAGTGCAGCTGGATTCCACCAGTGAGAGGCATGGCAGGAGACAGATGGACAGGAGGAGACTGAGATCAGGGTGTTTATTCTCCTGGACCCCTCCCTGCAGCTCATAATGGGGCAGCTGGGACCCTCTACCAAGGTCCACAGCTCCTGTGGGGAAGTCCTCTCCTAGCTATAAGTACTATTTACTTGTTCTGGTATCCAGTTTTTCTTCCCCTTAGACCTCGGAGGAGTTGTGACTTCTCATAGTGCCAACCTCAGCATGGTTAACACCCCTCCTTGGGTTTTTGTTAACCCTGCCTGCATTTTTGTAAATAGTTTCTTTATTAAATACTTCCTAATTATCCTATTTGTGTGAGCCATCTGTTTCCTGTTGAGCCCCTGACTGAGGCATTTTCCAGTCAAGAAAGTATTGAAGCAAATACAAAAAAATGTCAATATTTTGGAACACTAGAAGAGCATTTCCGGGCATTGACAGAACATGGTAAGTTTAGTATAAAGATTTGCAATGTGTCAAAAGTGGATAAAAAATGAGACTTTTGGCCTAGTTTTCCTATTATCGAGATAGTGGAAAATCTGTCAAGAATACAACATGGTGTTGGATAAGAGGGTATGAGAAAGATGGTATGTAAATGACTCACAAATAAGGCTTAATGTTTTGACTCCAGAGAATGGTGAACAACAAATATTGAATTTGGAAAAAGTGTGTGTAAATACACGTTTTTAAAAATGATGTTAAGGCAGCTGCTACTTCTAAAATTAATCAGAGTACCATTTTGAGAAGCATGTCATATGTTGCTAAATCTCTCATTTTGCTGGGTCAACATTTACTTAATTCTCATCGTAACATAGGCCCTGCACTGAGACAAAAAGTTATTTTTAATATTTAATGGCAACCCAACACAATTAGTACCAACCACACAAAGGCTGCCAAATAGACAATCACAACAAAATACCTGAGAACAGAAAACAGAACCAAATGTTCCAAAATATTTAGAGTAATCCAATGAAGCTAATAAAAGTTAAAGTCTCACAGAAGTAGTTAGATTTTATCAGAATGGCTAAACAAAAGAAGAAATGGATAAGCAGAGAAGAATGGTAAAACTGAATAATTAAGGAAGAGGAGAACTGGTTGTTAGCTAAGCCATGGGAAGAGCAGCAAAGGTAATATTTTGTTTTCATTTCTTCACTAGTAACAGAATTTCTCTCTGGTAGCACACATATCATAAACAAATATTATATTTTTCAGCATCCCTTACAACTCTGTGTAGATATAAATGGCTTCAGTTTTGATCAATAAGATATGAGCCAAAGTGATACCCAAAACTTTCAGATCATGCCCTTAGAGAATATAAGCATGGCTCACAAGCCCTTTTATTCTTTTCCTCTGGCTGAAATATTCACACTGATCTGCCATCTTGACTTAAGTGGCAACACTCTAAATTCAGTAGATCAATAGCAGAAAAAGGGTCTGGCTTTCGATGACTTTCTAGAGTAGAGATATCAGGCCAAGTGACACTCATGTACTAGGGGCTTCAAAAAGTTCATGTAAAAATTCTCATTCTAATTCCATTTTCCATCTTTTTAGAAATATACTTTCAAAAGTTTATTTCAGACAGAGAGAAACAGATCAACATCTTTTATCTACTTGTTCATGCCCAATTGACAGGAACAGTCAGTGCTCAGCCAGGCAGAAGTCAGGAACATAGAATTCAATTCAGGTCTCCTAAACGGGTGGTGTAGACAACAAGGCACTTGAGCCATCATCCTGTATTCCCTCCAAGGGTGCACATTAGCAGAAAGCTGGAATGGTGAGTCAACCTGGGACTCAAACCCGGGTAATCTAACATAGGATGTTGGCGTCTCAAGTGGCATCATTTTCTTTCCTTCAAGATTTTATTTATTTAAGCCAGGAGCCTGGAAATCCATTCAGGTCTCCCACGTAGGTGGCAGGGGCCCAAGTATTTGAACCCTCATCTGCTGCTTTCCTAGGTGCATTTGAAGGGAGCTGGATCAGAAGCAGAGTAGCCAGAACCAAACTGGCATTCTGACATGGGATTTGCACATTGCAAGTGGCAGCTTAGCCTGCTGGGCCACAACACAGATCTCCCATGTCTTAACCACTCTGCCTAACAGCCACCATCCCCCACCACTTAGGACATTTTTGAAATCCCTTCCCGTATGTGTTGGGGTGAGGAAGCATCCCTTACATTTAAGTCACTGTTACTTTGGTTCTCTGTACACACACCTATACTGCTATATTTCAACCAATAAAGGGAGTCAAATGGACTGACAAGAGCAGCATTTGATTTAAAGACACAGGAGATAAGCCTATGCAGACCAAGAGGTAAAATGTCTTAAAATCCACAACAGGAAATTAAACTAGAAGTTTCTGAACAAGGGAATTAGATCACCCAAAAGAATTCTCTTGGATTCTGTAATACAAATCTGACTTGAGATTCTGTCCTGGCAGATAATCCAACGGAACACAAAACCATGAAAAAATCTAATGTAGGAATTCAAGAAAACAGGTGACTGGGAACTAGAACATGATCTATCAGCCATTATGCTCTAAAATTTATTTCCCTCCATTTGCCTACAGATATCATTCAGTTAGATGAATGTGGCAGTCAAATGTTTAGCTGATCACATTTATCTCCCAAAACAAATCTGCACCATTAACTAACAGCTGTGAGCTACAAACTATTGTAGTTCACATCAGCAACTACCTTAAACTTGCTATATTTTAAATCAGCTGAAATATATTTTCTTGTAATAAATATGGCACTGTAGCTTAACATTCTCAAAACTATACCGGAATGTGAATTGAAATTGACTACCTGGTGATAACTCGGCTTAGCCGAGCATTTCCAATTCTTGGTAGATCTCTGAGGGTGAATTTTCTAAGCATGTGAAGAATTAGTTGAAATGACTTTCCACAGTTTATCAGGGAGTGGTGCAGCTATGGTATTTTCAAAGTCTAAACACAATTAGTGACCAAGTGCATTAGCGTTGGTGAGATCCCAAAAGGATTGACATCCTCTTATGATTGGTACTTCTAAATCAGAAGTGCAATTTAAAAGATACACATCCACACTGGGAGAACAAAATGGAAACCTGAACTTCTGTAAAATGGGAACTACCATTCCAGAGGAACAGTAGGTATCCCTACAGGTGCAAAGGCACCACAGGGGTAACCAAGTGAAGAATTCTGGCTTACCAAAGAAGAAAGACTTTTAAAGTGCTAGTGTCAGTGTTTCCTGTAATTTTTAAATTACTTTCTCACTCCTGCTACATTAAGATCTCCTGGATGTATCATAAACTATTTATTGAGGGTGTTCAGCTGGAAAATTGAAAAGAAAGCCTTTGAAGGGTTTTTCCTCTCTGAAACAGGTGGGAAGACAGAAAAAAGCACTTGATTGTTTCTTTTGTTTCACCCCAGTTAAAAGCTTTGGAGAATCTAGTGAATTTACCATCCTACAAAAGAATCGTTTGTATATATACACATTCAAATCAAACCTGGAAATAGGGTACCAATAAAGGGAAGACAGTACTTTTGTTCATCAGGAAATGTCAAAACATATTTACCTCTTGAAAAATGTCAAAGCTTAACATATGCAATGATCCTACTTCAACAACCTGAAAGCACTGTGATTTCTCTATAACTATTGTGCAATTCAAAAATGTTAATGCTAACAAGGAAATATAGTAAGCTACACAAAGCACAAATAAAGATTAATCATGCAATTCATTCAGTTACATTTTAAGTTATTGACCTCCAGCAAATCTTGGTAAAACTTCTCCTGTATGTATATTGTTCAAAGTACCTCACTTTTCTTCAAGCAAAAACTACCTCTAGGTTATAAATGAACCAAACAAGTATGTAATTCTTCAAGTAGAATTTCTGTACATTTTCCTTTACCTTACAATACGTGTGCATACTTTTGATAAAAGGAGGTCAAATATTAGTAATTGACTGAATTTGTACAGATAATACAAGAATGCAGAAACCATAAAAACAAAATCCAGAAGTAGAAATATAAATCATATATGACACAACTAGTGGTTCAATTTTGCTGCATTGTAGGGTGCTAATGGAGTAATCATGGGGGAAATATTGGAATAGCAAAATTGAAGTCATATGGTCTAAGGTCTTAAGTGTCAGGTGAGACTGCTTTTTTATAAGTCATACAGAGCCAGGGAAAGTATTTGGACAAGCAAGTAACATAAATAGTCTGTACTTCAAGAAAACTGGTCGGTAGCAGGCAAAATGGATTTTGCAGGGGTGACAGGGATTGGAGGTGGGGCACTGAAAAGAGACAGAATTGAACAGTCTATCTGCAATCAGTAGGACGCACACAATTACGCAGGCATGTTCCCAGCGAGCATTCCTTCTGAAATTAGTAAGAAATCATAAACCAGTTACCCGGGATGCTGCAAGATAGTGGGTTTAATATGGCTCACCAGTGTTAATGGACTGGAATGTCTTTCATTAACCAGAACACTATGGCCATGGTTGGTCTTTGGGCCAGCTGGGGGATGAGGAGACAGGATTGGCATATTATTCTCAATTGACCGGCTTGTGTGCTCTCCCTAGAATAAGAAAAGGATTTAGTGAATAGATGCATGGTTAGCAATCTGGGTTAGAGTAAGTGTCTGACATGTAAGAGATACCATATGACTAAAGAAGTCTTATCTTATTCCTTTCAGGTGTTATTTCTGAGGCCTCTCAGGATAATTAGGAAAAGTTTCCAAAGCTCTTATTATGGAGTTGTGGGTCATGGCAAAAACTAGGAAATTGAGTTGGTTTTAGACGTACTCAAAGAAATAGCTACGAAAGCAATGAACCCTGAGTTTTAGCAGTATATATTAAAGCTCTTGAAGCGAGTCACTACAGGAAGCACAATGCTCTTCACGACTGCGATCAGTAGAGACTAGCAGAGAACAGTGCTTTTCTATCTCAGAACATAAATGAGAGTAAGCAAAAACTCTGCATATTAAATGATGGGGCTCTAAACCATATCTTTTGCCCACTGTAGCCATACAGTAAAAAGCATTACAAATGAAATCCTACAGAGAGAGCCTACAGCATCTACCTCCAAACTCTGCCAATGCCATAACATGCCCAGGTTTTGTGTGTCTGGCAATCTGGCCACAGCCACAACAGCTTACACGATTTTAGGCTGTGCTAGTGACTCTTAATTTAATAACCATTTTGCACTATCAACATCTCAGTAGACAAACTATGGAATCCATAACTCAGTCCTTGATGTAGCACAACCTCTGCAAAGCTGAATTACCACAAATCTTTACATGCCAACTCTTCTGTTCTTGAAAATCTGACCCATCTCCTGTCATTTTAAAACATTGTTTAACAAGATTATCTTTTGGCCCTGATAAAATAGATTTGAGTCCAGCAGGCAAGAGGGGAAAAATACCGTCTGCTATGGCAACTTATTCTACAGAAGCTTTATAAGCATTCATCTGTCTGTGAAACATGTCTTAGGCCCTACATTCGTAATACTGCAGAGAAAATTACTAACCACACAGGAGTTTGAATGGCTCAAGAAACAGAGGAGCATTGCCAACACAAAATGACATCTTTCAAACTTGCTTAATGGAATAGCTTATCTCTCTTGATTCAAATTTATATATTTCATAAGTTCACTGCAAAACAGAGAGATATAGTACAAAAATAGAAAACAAGGAATTTTAAAATGTCTTGTGTAGAATGTCTAAACCTTATGAGGCTTTCTGTTGCTAAGGAGGATCTTCCCCCTCATAATTTTCAAGGGTCACATTCACATGAAAATGTGCTGTTGAACAATTCTTGAAATTGTTTTTCACAGTGTGAACATTACCATCTCTTTTTACTTTCCTAAGAGAGGACAAAGATCATTTGGACTGTATCACAAGAAAATACAAATACAAAATTTCAAATATGAAAAGATATGTTCAAGTTTGTCTCTGAAAGCTTTGCACATTATTAAAATTTATTACCACAAATGGCTCCTATTTTGTCACAATCTTCTGTAATGATTAGGGCCAAGATTCAGGCTTGGTGAAGCCATCATTTGACCTCAGCTATGCATTACTCAAAAGAAAAGCACCCCACGAAATCTCAATAATAGCAGCACTGGTTTTTAAATCATAAGATGATCCAAGTAAGAGTAGAAGAGAATTATGTAGCTCCTTACCTTAAATCTGGGAATTCGCTCCTTCCTAGCTAAGGTCTCCAGTTTCTTTTTTATTTCAAGCTGATGGTAACGCTAAAAATGGAGGAGAGAATCCTATCAATTACAGCCAGGAATATTTTAGATGAAAAAAAAAATAGCAATAGCTAACTAGATAGTCAGTTACCCCTCTTGTCATTGAGATGGAGAAGAATCACTTGTGTAAGTATGCAGGTGGGAATATAAATTGGAACAACTCTTTGGCAAACCAATTTCAAACATATATTAGGCAGTTAAAAGTATTCATACCCTTTAATCTGTACATTTAAATTCTAAATTGGGGAAAATCTGAATAATAATTTTAAAAATGTTTTATGCACAATGATGTCTGAAAATGATTTTTGTTTTTTTCATCAAAGCAAAATGCAGAAGAAATATAAACTTCAAAGGGAATGGGTCTCTGAATATCCATCTGATGAAAGAAGATATAATCGCTGAAATGAGGTTCATAAATATTTTCAGTTAATGCAGAATGCACGTAATGCAGAAAGATGATCCATATCCATTATCTCCTCTTGAACAACTTAATTGCTATTCTCCTCTTACAAACACAGAAACTGAGGCAGAAGATCATAAGATTGCCTGAGTCCATATCAGTGAATAGGGGAGCTATATGGAAACTTAGTCTGACATTAGCTGCTTTTTTTTTTTTCATAAAACATGTCCCTCTGACAACACGACATGATTTTATTAATGGATAAATGTGAATAGAAGAGACTAAAAAATATGACAGTATGTTAATCATGGTTATCTGAGAGGAAACATTACAAGTGCTTATTTTCCTTCACTTTCTAATTTTTCTATAATAATAATTTTATAATTTAAAAATAAATTTCACAAAAAGTTACCTGCTTACAATTTGGTTAGAAATCATTCAGTCATATTTGCGAGTGCTTTATTTATTGGCTCCTTGAAAAAAGAGTCTTTTCTCTGTTTTTGATCCCCTCCTCCTGCTGCCTTGGGGACCTTGCCGACTCAATCATTCTCAACCTAAGTATCATCAATCCTCTTCTTGACACTTCCCTTCCCTCTCTCTCTTTCCCAGATCTCTCACCCACTTATCACCAAACTTTATTAAATTCACTATCAACCGCTTTCCATCTTTTCACTTATTCCCAGCTCTCTGCAGTCAGTCCCTTGCTCATCACCACCACAGAAACGACTTTCACCAAGGCCACTAATGTCTTGTCGTCTGGGTCAAATGTAATTTCCTTTTGCCCCAGCGCTTGTCTTGTTCAACCATCCTGCTGTTTGGGAGAGCCCCATGGCTTCCAGGACACCCTTCTAAGGGGCATACTTTTGGCCACTTGAATGCTCTTCCCCAGCCCCTCCTGCAGTGCAGGCACCACCCACATCAGGCTGGAAAACTCAGACCTGCCTGGAACTCCTTCTCCCTTAGTCCTCCACGTTGAGTCAGTTTAAATCTTTCTCTGTCTTCAATGCCTCTGTAGACAGCTGCATCTCCCCAGCGTTACAGCTACTGCTGTTAGCCCACGCCCTCTGGCAGCAGCTTCCTAATTGACCTCCCACCTCCAATCTTTTCCAGCTCATTAATCCATCTTCCACATTTTAGCTACATCATCGCTCTGAAACAGCTCTGCTCATTTATTTCACTCTGCTGCTGAAACATGTTTCATCGCCTCATCACCTACACTCCAAACCAGGTTGGGAATTTAAGGCCCTCCAGCGACAAGTCCCCACCCTACTGGCGTGTCATACTGCCACTGCTTCCAACCAACCCACTGCGCAGTCTGGCCTCAGTGAGCTTTCCTTTCCATCTACAATGTCCTTTCATGTCTGCTGCCTTCACTCTCTGGAAGGCCTTTCCCCTGATGCCGTGACAACTGTCACTCAGTCTTCAAAGTTCAGTTCGAATAGCAGGAGCTGTTGACCCCCCAGGACTCCCCCAGAGAAAGGCCATCCCTCCCTTCTTCTCTGAGTCCAGAGTGTTTCTTCCAGCACTCAAGCACCTTCTACAATATTTTTTTAATTCTATCTCAAAGCTGCAACACATAGCCTCATACTGGCACATGGAAAGCCTGAAATTAATGTTTACTGCTTGAGTAAATACATGAATATGAACACAACAACTTTAGTAAACATAATCAGCATAAACTAAATGGAAGACAAATGTGACAGTTTAGACAGAAATATTTTTTCCTACTCTATGAATACTAATATATTATATGGGGTGAGTATCCCTTGTACTTAGGATTGACAATGCTTCAGATTTCAGAGATTCTTGGTTTTGGAATATTTGCACACTGAAAGTACCAAATCTGAAATACTCCAAACTCTGAAACTTTGGGGGTCATAGTTCTAAAAAAGTTTTAGATTTCAGAGCACTTCATATTTTTGAATTAGGGTTGCCTAATCTATATAATCTGATTATTATGTTATTAATAAATTATACAGTTTATATTATTATATATAAGATATTTATTTTATACTTTAAGAATGCATAAAGTCTCAAATAATAACAAATCTAATGGTTTTAATATGACATGATGTATCACTGAAATGAGATTTTGGAAAACCAAACTTCAAGAATCAAGGTTAATACTGAACTCAGTACCTATTGATTTTGAAACTGGGTGTAAATTCATTTTATGCTACATTATTTGCTTTTTAACAGAATTCTTGATTCTAGCCAATACTTTTATAAGCAAGTGAATTTGAAACAATAAACAATGATTCTCTGTAGTTTATCATAAGTAGTACAAAATTCCTAAATTAATAGATTAATATATGTAATAAGTGAGCACTCCCCTAGCTCAATATGATGCTAGCATAAAAGAAATACTTCAGTGGCACTATACTTACTACTGGTTTACTGATGAGTCTATGGTTGTTCATAAATGTTTACTTTACTCACAAGTCAATGATTGCACAAGCCAAGTTTTCTGATTTACTGCTGTATGGTCAAGCCAAGAAGTGACATGCTTTTTCCTTTTTCACAGAGATTAAAATGGTGTTGAGACTTGAAACTACAAGCTTCATGGAGCAAGGCTGAAATAATATATCAAGTTACCGAGATGTCCCACTAAAAATGCCATGTCAGATAAAAAAAAAAATGTTGATGCTTGGGTAGTAGATCTCTGTTGACCAATGTGGCCTAAAGTAGGAGGGACAGCAGATGTTTCAATGCCTATTCCTTGAAACCTAACATACGGCTGCGCTTCAGAGCCTTAAAAGAATAACAGATCTGAAATAATTCATGGCAATGGAATTACTGATATTTAAACAGATGTCACTTCTTTTTTTTTAGCAAATGGAAATTGAAGTGCAGATGGTGAGGGCTGGTATGTTTCAGAGTAGCCATTGTGGATTAAAAATCTACATTTGGAAAATTGAATATCACAAAATACATAACGATCTCCATATTTTTTCCCAACTGAAAAGGAGAAAAGCATATTTCAGTCTCCTGGCTCTTGGCTACATAGAGAGATAGAGAGTAATTCTCAGGTTACGTTGATCATTTTCTTTGTAATGAAATACAGGAAGATCCCCCTGCTTCTCAGTACAGAATCACTATTAATTACCAAATTAGAAAATATCAGCTATAAAGGAAATAGTAAATATTTATACCTCCATATCAAGAACCTTATGGAAAATAGCCTGGGCTAAGCACTCCCGGACATATTTTTGGTGCTCTCGCTTCATGACATTTAATTTGTATTCTTTTTCAGAAAGAATTCTTCCACTTCTTGTGATCTGTCACGAGTAAACAAAACATACACAGAAATACAAAATAGAAAATGTGTTGTTACCAAGAAAGAGGGGAGGGTGAGGAGAGAGGTGGTGGGGTTGGGGCAGGGAGGCAAAGAGAGGTAAGAAAGCAGCAGTATCCTCAAAGTCTAGAGGACTACATCCTGATGTTGATAAACTTTCACTTTTACTAAATATTTCATAAGGCAAAAAGGTGAAAGGCAGTCTCATACACCCATCGTTGTGAGAACACACACAGGTGGCGTACTTGACGTTTCAAACAAGGTTTTCATCAGAGCAACAATTTTCCCTTGATGGAACCCAGGTGTTCTTTTCATTTCTCTTTTTGAACACCTGCTGGGAAGAAGAAGGTGGCCTGCTACCGTGAAACAACGAACAGGAGCAGTGGTCACAGGACTGATGATCTCACAGGAAATACTTTGGAGGGCAGAACACACAAGCTACTAAGGATCTCAACAGTTTGTTTTTTAAAGTTATCAGTTTCATTACTTTGTTTTCCCACTGTTTTTCTTCTACCACTCTCTAGCCTAGAACACACTTTAATTTGTTGTGATTCAGACTTTTACATATTATGAGTACTAAAGAGAGGTATTCAATATTGGTCTCCATTGGCATCACTGCAAGTACCAGGGTGGAAGTTTCTGTTCCTTGCTTTTTCTTTTCTTTGAACCCTTCCTGTGGGTGGTTTTGTTGTGTTTTTCTATATCTCCTGTGAATAAAGGCTATTATTCTTCCTGGATTGCCATTTCTCGTTCAGTTATTTAAGCCCTCCTCTTCCATTTAGTTCTAACGCAGGGTATGTATTTCTTAATTCTGTTCTTAATTTTGCTAAATGGAATGGTTTTTAACTCGTTGCTACATATTGGGTGGGGTGTTAAGATTAATTAGAGGCCGGCGCCGCGGCTCACTAGGCTAATCCTCCGCCTTGCGGTGCCGGCACACCGGGTTCTAGTCCCGGTCGGGGCGCCAGATTCTGTCCCGGTTACCCCTCTTCCAGGCCAGCTCTCTGCTGTGGCCTGGGAGTGCAGCGGAGGATGGCCCAAGTGCTTGGGCCCTGCACCCCATGGGAGAAGCACCTGGCTCCTGCCATTGGATCAGCGCGGTGCGCCAGCCTCAGTGCACCAGCCGCGGCGGCCATTGGAGGGTGAACCAACGGCAAAGGAAGACCTTTCTCTCTGTCTCTCTCTCTCTCACTGTCCACTCTGCCTGTCAAAAAAAAAAAAAATATTAGAGTTCTATGTGTGTTGGACTGTTGATTTTTTTTTATAAATACATTTTCCAATGGAAGAAAAGGAAGTGATTATGGAAAGGGTGCTTGGAATGACAAGTAACCCAGCTGCAGTTTTCAGAATGTGCTGTCTACAGGCTACTAAGTCACATGTGTAGAACTGGATAACTGGGGAAAACGTTAGCAGGCCCTGACTGCAACCCCTCGGCAGATAACACCTGTCACTGTAACCTCTCCTGTGGAACTATGTCTGATCTTCCTAATTAGACTGGAAGCTCCTAAAGGGCAGAGATTCTTAAATTTGAACTTGCAATTGAATCATCTGGAGGGCTTGTTGAAAAATAGATTGATGGCCCCCATCCCAGAGTTTCTGATTCAGTAGGTCTGGGGGTAGGGCTCTCAGATACGCATTCTCTAACAAGTTCCCAGGTGATGCTGAACACTGCTGGCTGAGGGGCTGTATTAGAACAACTGTTCCAGAGAAAGTGCTGCATCTTCCTTATCTGAGTTGCATGAACATGTGTACTGTTCAATAAGTGCTTGTTCACGATGTGATACATACATACACAGCTCAGGTCATTCATACATGAAACTTACAGACAGTTCTCCAAAGAGGTGACGTTAATAATAACGATGATAATTACAACCAGCATGTATTGCACATTTCTATATTCACAACAATCCTGAGAGCTAGGCAGCAGGATCTCAATCTTCATTTTACAATGGAGGATATTGGGGCTGAAAAAGTTAAATAAGTGATTTGCTCAAGACTCTAGGTCTTGTAAATGGCAGAGTCTGGTTTCAGCCAGATCTGCCTGATAGATAACAAAGCCCCAACAGAGGAAAAGCAAGCTGAGATCTGTGTAGCTGGAGTGCCAAGCACCTGAACAGCAATTAGAAATGCAGTGTATGTTCTTTCAACACCAGGCTGACAATAGCTAAGGAAGCACAAGGTGTCTTAAGGAGGCAAATAGCTAACATTTTCTATAACCACACCCTTTTCTCTCAGTGGAGAACCACAGTGGTTTTTAAGGATTCTCACATGGTACACACTGAGAAGCACGGGCATTCTGTGGAAGAGAGAGTTGTGACGCTAACGATAGTCATCAATGTGTCAACCATCAGAGGAAATGAAAGATTAAATAAACTCAAGGAGAGATATGGAACTATTCCTGTTTTCCACACCATGTTTATGATGATTAAAAACAGCACATTTTGGCCGGCGCCGCGGCTCACTAGGCCAATCCTCCGCCTTGCGGTGCCGGCACACCAGGTTCTAGTCCCGGTCGGGGCGCCGGATTCTGTCCCAGTTGCCCCTCTTCCAGGCCAGCTCTCTGCTGTGGCCAGGGAGTGCAGTGGAGGATGGCCCAAGTACTTGGGCCCTGCACCCCATGGGAGACCAGGAGAAGCACCTGGCTCCTGCCATCGGATCAGCGCGGTGCGCCGGCCGCAGCGCGCTGGCCGTGGCGGCCATTGGAGGGTGAACCGATGGCAAAGGAAGACCTTTCTCTCTGTCTCTCTCTCTCACTGTCCACTCTGCCTGTCAAAAAAACAAACAAACAAACAAACAAAAAAAAACAGCACATTTTTTTCCAAACACAGTAAAGTCATCTGTGTCCTCATTCTTTAACGTTTTCTGGCTCACAGAATGTGCTCACTAAATATGCAACAAATAAATGAATAGCAATGACATATGTGATTGTAAATCATAGGGACTTTTTCTCAATATAAATTTTGGTAGTCATTGTGACCTCCCTTCCCATCTTTTGAAGCACTCACAGATAAATCAGAACTTTGGAGAGGAAGTAATTTTTCTAAAGTTAATGCACAAAAAAGATGCTGTTGATTAGCTCAAAGAGGGACTCTGAAAAGGCAGGGAATTATTGGACTTAATGAAACAAGAAAATGGGAAGAAAGTAAACCCAATCTTACCAGCCCTGATCTTAAGAGATGTCGCCTTATCCTCGTATTGTTAAAATACCCAGCCAGGTGTTTATCAGTAAGGCTGTTGTATGCCGCCAGTAATCTGAAACAGAAAAATGAAACCATTAAGGTTTTATGAAGTGTTGCTTGATAACCAGTGATTCTTAATGTTCTCATCCCCAAACTGTGCATAACCACCCATTCATCTAGCCACTCATTCATATATGTGCTTCATAAACATGTATGAGCACCTACTGTTTTCTAGGCTTTACGATAAGAGCTGGGAGACAGCCCTGACTTTGATTATCCTCCAGGCAAGTAGAGAAATCAGACATAAACAATTAAATCAGGTGTGAAAATTCCAATAATAGAAACATACAGGAAGTCGTGGGAAGACAGAAGGGGACACCAGCTCCAGTTGTCAGAAAAGAAAAGGCTTCATAGAGAAAGACTGATGGCGAAGCATGACTCCAGCCTCTTATTACATTTGTATCCTAAACTCTGATAACTCAAGCTTGCCTGTTGTCCCCCAACATATGTCAAGACACAAAGCAGTCCTTCCACTGTGATGTCCTCTCCTTTGTCTTTCATCCAGTGGGTAATGCCACAATGCTCAGGCACCTCTTCCAGGAAGCATACCCTGATATGCACTGGGTGTGCACAGTTACTTTCCACCCCACTCCTGTAAAACCCTGAGTTACATTTCACACCATAGACTACATATCACATCACATCACAGTTGCATTTCACATCACATCACAGGATAAGGATAGTGCATTATTCATGGTATCAATGTGATGTTATTTGTTGTATGTACAGCCATCCCTTGGTACACAGAGGTTATATGTTCAGGAACTCTTCTCTCCTCTCCAGTGGATCTCAAAACGTGCATATACTCAAGACTCTGACTAAAACAGTGTAGTATTTGCATGTAACTTACAAACGTCCTACCACAAACTTTAAATTATCTCTGGATTGTTTATGATACCTAACTCAATGTAAATGGTCTTCAGATAGATATTATACTGTGTTGTAAAGGGAATAATGACAATGGGAAAGAAGTCTATCTCATCAGTACATACATAACATTTTTAAAAATATTTTTGATATGCAGTTTGTTGAATTCACAGATGTAGAACTGTGACATGGCACAGTAACTGTAATGTATACAGTGAATGAAGACATAGTTTTATTTAGTACTTATTGGTACTGATATAAGCTATTTACCAAGTTTAAACTCAGCATTTTTAAAGCATTAACTTCCTCATACATATCTAGACAAGTTCAATAATTTCATAACCCATAACCTCCCTCCCCCAAAAAACTAGATTTACCTTTGATTTTTAGAGACTTTTAAGAGCTAAATGAGGATAAATTGGTTACTTGATTACATGCTATACCTTAGTAAATGATCAGTTTAAGTCTACAAACCAAAGTTGGAAGCTATTTTTTGTTTTAACCTATGCTTTATGAATTATTCTGCTGCCTTATATAAAAGCATAAATATAAATATATTTATATATGCATGTTTGTATATACATATGCATTGATATAATTAAATATGCATAAATGTTAGTATATAGGTATATATGAATACATAGATAGGGACTGAGACTGAGAGAGAGAAAAAGAACAACCAAGCCAAAATTTAGTTGCACAGTAAAGCTGTCTTTAAAAAAGAAAGCAAGCAATGCATACTTTATTACCTGCAACAAAGATTTACAATCTCTACATTTTTGGAACAGCTGATCCTTAATTTATTCTGAGACTAGCACAGGGACTCATAGAATCGAGTAAATGTCATTAGTAACAATTTTATTTAGCTGTTTGCACTGCCTTAATTATATGGAGATGGTATTGGTGACCTTTTCTTGTCTCTTTTCTCCTTAGCAGCTCAACGCAGAAAAGTTCCATGCTGTCAAATGGTAAGGAAAGTTTAATTTTGTCCACAAAAGAGACTGAAATGTAGTTACAAAGCCCAGAAGCCAAGGTGCCACATGAAGGTTGCAGACATATGAACAACTGTGGAAACTATTATTTTGCTGGGTTTATGTAAAAAGACAGCCCAAGAGCTTCACTAAGGCACATATAAAACCAGACCCAGATAATTCTTTGAAACCGTCTTTTAAATGAACTGTCTTGGTGTCCTATAGTTCATCAAAGGTTTCCTGTCTCCAAAAGGTCAACATTGTATCCTTTACCCTTTCTGAATCTCAGAATATCTTTTCAGCTCCTCATTTCAAAAAGGTGAGCAGGTGTCTCTCAGTCCTAACAATCATGATTCCACAGTTCACAGATTCTTAAGATAAATCATTAGAGTGATATCATAGATATTCTTTTGTCTGTTTTTCAGGCTCAAGTGAAAAAAAAAAATCAGTAGTTTCAGAATAGTTAAGATGCTAAAAGCTGACTACATGAAGTGGGGTCAAAAAGTTGGATTGACATGGACACATTTCCCTACTGATAGGTAAAATATTCCCTTCTTTTGATTCAAGCTTTGAAACATTTTAATATTTTGGTCCTAATAATAGATCTTAGCTTTGGCACAAGCTGATTTTATTTCTGCTCTCTCAGGCACCTTTCCTGTGTGGGCCATTGGTCTGATCCCTCCTGCACTGGTCCTCTTTATGTGTATTTGGAATGGGCTGTAGCCTTGCATTTTATTAACTGAATTATAATTTACTGGCCAAGCTACAAATGTAGGGTGATGGAGCTTTTCTGATGTTCCCGCCTTATCCTCTGCACTCACTGCTGTTTCACCCCTACTTGCCTTTCCTTTCTTGCACTTGGCATAACCGTAGGCCAGATAAGGTCACCTTGCTCTGGGTTCGTCATTGTCTTGAACACTGCACACTCCACCCCTTTTGTGCATTACCCTCCGCATCCATGGTTAAAACTGGACTTCCTGGTCCTGCTGCCTTTGTCCTGTGATCCTCCCCTGTCCATCAGTGACTCCATTGGTCACAGCAAAACCACCAGGCCATGGTAACCATACTACTCGCAGGCCACATAGTTCATACCAAGCCCCACACTGCACTTGCCCAGACTGGTCTAACATATTTGCCTTTTTATGTGATAGACTATTTACTCAGCCTCTCAGTCATTAGGTGGGGAATAATCCACTTTCTGGCTCAGTGCAATGGGGAAAACCTTCCTCCAGGAAGCAAAGCTACCCTGTGTCTATACTATTTCCTGTTAGCCCCACTGCAGTTCACACCCTACGTCCCTTCAGGGCCTGAGATTTGGAGGCCCTTAACGCTGAGTCATTGGGAGCACTGCCTTCCCAGGGCAGCTTTCAGCATTCAATCCTCAGATCCTCCTCACCTGCCACCATGCTGAATATGTAAATGAGGTCTTGTAGCATTAAAAGTAGCGAATCCTATCCATCCCTCCATCTGGCCCCAGAGACCGTCTGTCCCATGAACAGTCCAGTTAACAGAACAGGCACTAAAATAGTGTTTATTTTGAGTACTGATTACCGTAGGTCATTCTGTAAGGCACTGGGGACACACAGTGGGCCAGACACTGCATTCACAGAGCTCCCAACTTTCGGGGAGGGAGATGCACACATTGATATTTATGTGTGTGTTTGATTTGTCCCTGCATCATGAGCTAGTTCATTCACAAAGGGTTACTAAGTGTTATCATTCAGACACTGTGCCCTGAGCTGGAATGGTCTAATATCCATATTTCATACTGCAAGTCACCAAGCACTTCCACATACCAGGATTCATTTGATTTCTCCTAGGCCCCTGGAACCTGAGCAGTATCTAATTGTTACAAATCTTTCATCTTTCTGAAAATCTCCAAAGAAAATTTAGTGCTTAATGTGAGTCAGTACTAAGGAAACCTAAGCCAGTACTTCCTCATGCCTCACACTGATAGGATCATTCCTTCTGGCCTAGAGCACCCTTCAATCGCAATCTCCACTCCCAGCACTGTCCACTCTGACACTGTCAGGCTGAAAGGGATATAGCTGCCAAGACTCCAGATCTGAGTCCATCCTAGCTCCACCATTACTGGCTCTGTAACTTGGTGCAAGTGACTTAACCTCCCTCTGCCACAAATGTCCTACCATCCACAAAACACTGGGACTCAAACAGAGTTCATGCAAGTTCTTGGTCAGTTCCTACTAACATGCTCCTCATTTCCACATCATCAGAATGACCCTCACCACCCACAATTCTACTCACATTTGATCCATGATTGTTTAGGTATTCTTGAAGAAGGTGCACATTTTTTCTCTACCTCTCCTTTTCTTCTTTCTGTACTTTCACCTGAATTACTTTTAAAAACTCCTTCCTGGCAACCTTGGCTTTTTCTAGCATGCCCATCCAAACTCTTCCAACCTCTACCCATTACCTAGTTTCAAAGCCACTTCCACATTTTTTAGGTAATCATTTCACAGCATTCTACAACTTTGAACCAATTTCTGTCTCAGTCTATTTAGGCAGAATACCATGGCCTGAGCATCTTAAACAACAAACATTTAGTTATCAGACTTCTAGAGGTTAGAAGTCTGAGATTAAGGTCAGGCAGATGGTTTTCTTCTCACTGTACTCTCACGTGAAAGAGAACAGAGGAATGCTCACTTCATCTTCAAGTACCATCAGAATGGGGAACTGTGTTGCAACTTAAATTTGGAGGGGACACAAACACATAGTTCATAATGGAAGGTATTATTGTCCCAACTTTGTAGATGAGAAAAGCAAGCCTTACCTAAATCACTTGCCATATAACTTATTCCTGATATTGTGCCCAAGTCACAACGAATACTGCAGTCTAGGTCTTGTTAAGACAAGGAATAAAGAAAGCTAAATATGATGGTGGAAAATATGAATCATGAAATACTCACAGAGGACCAATTCTCCAGTACAGAGATAGGAAAATTTTAAATGAAAATTCTCATAGATTAAATTGAAAAATACGTAACATTTATTTATAATTATCCATATCATTAGCATAAAAACAATGTGCTAAAATATTTAAATCAGATCATCTCCTACATACGTATTTCTGAAATCTGCTTTACACTATAAAATTTCGCTGGCAAACTATTTCAGATGGAATACAAAGAATCATTCTGGCACAACCAGGATAGTTTTATTTTACCCAAATTTTAACAATGCCCATTTGAATTAATGAAGTCTGTATTAGTTGCCTACTATTGCTCTAACAAAGTACTACACACTAACAATTGAAGACACATCAATTTCTTATCTTATAGTTTTGGAGGTCAAAAATCCAAAATGGGTTTCACAGGACTAAAATCAAGGTGCCAGAAAGGCTGTGCTCCTGCAGACAGAATCCTTTTCATTTCTTTTCTATCTTCTGGAGGTTGTCCACAATCTTTGGATCTCAGCCCTCTTCCATTGGTAAAGCCAGGAAAGGCTGGCCAAGTGTTTCTCAAATTGTCAACTCTCTACTTCGAGTTCCTCTGCCTCCTTCATCCCTATTTAAAGACCATTGAGGGGTGGCTGTTTAGCACAGGCAGAGACTTGGGATGTCTGATTCAAGTGCTGGCTACTCCACTTCCAATCTAGCTTCCTGAAAATGTACACTGGAGAGAGCTGGTCGTGGCTCAAGTACTTGGGACCCTGCCATCCATGTGAGAGATCCAGATGAGTTCTGGACTCCTGGTTTTGGCCAGGTCTAGCCCTGAACTTGTGGATGGGAGGGAGATCTCTTTTTTTCTGCCTCTCTCTCTCTCTTTCTCTCTCTCTCGCTCTCAAATAAAATGAACATAAATACATAAAAATTTAGAAACCCTTGTGATTATACAGAGAGAATCTTCTTATCTTAAGGCCAGCTGTTATCAACCTTAATTCAATCTGCAACTTCTATTCCCTCTTGCCACATAAGATAACATATTCATATATTCTGAGGACTCAGACATGGACACCTTATGCCCACCACAAGGTTTGCCTGTATGTCAGATAGTAGGGAGCAGAATCATTTGATTCTGAATGTAATGGTAATTGGGCTATAATATGTATTGTCCAATGATCAATCATGCTGGTGATCCCCACTTCCAAAAAAGCATTCTCAAATGGAGTAAGAACGTTCTTGATGCCCTGAGGAGACACACAGAACAAGCTAGAGCTGTCCTGCTGATGTGTCAAAGGTGAGTGCCAAGACAAAAGAACAAGAGGTGTGCTGAAGTGCATTTCAAATAATTCACAGTTTTCTTCCAAAATAAATTCCTTTAGGGGGACAGATTAGCCCACAGGGGATAATTGTTTTCAAGTCAAACACCACCTATTCAGTACTTAGCACATGTCATTAAATTCAGATAATTATATTATTGCATGAAACAGTAAGAAAGTAAAAAAAAAAATTGCCAATTATACCACAACACGACATTGTAAACTGCAAATGATTTTAGTGATGTTAAAATATGAAAAGGCAGGGCTGGTGCCTTTGCTCACTTGGTTAACCCTTCACCTGCAGCACCGGCATCCCTTATGGGCACCGGGTTCTCCACATCTCACTAGTCCCGGTTGCTCCTCTTCCAGTCCAGCTCTCCACTGTGGCCTGGGAGGGCAGTGGAGGATGGCCCAAGTGCTTGGGCCCCTGCACCGGCATTGGCGACCAGGAAATAGCACCTGGCTCCTTGTTTAAGACTGGCACAGTGCCAGCTGTAGCGGCCATTTGGGGAGTGAACCAACGGAAGGAAGACCTTTCTCTCTTTCTCTCTCTCTCAGTGTCTATAACTCTACCTGTCAAATAAAAAAAATATATCAAAGAGCAATCACAATAGTGTTGATGAAATGTGTTACTTTCATGTGCCAAGGAGCTCTAGACATTTTTCAAAAGAGGAAATCCAAATGGCCAACAGGCACATGAAAAAATGTTCAGAATCTCTACCCATCAGGGAAATGGAAATCAAAACCACAATGCAGTTTCACCTCACCTGGGTTAGAATGGCTCACGTACAGAAATCTACCAACAACAGATGCTGGCAAGGATGTGGGGAAAAAGGAACACTAACACACTGTTGGTGGGAATGTAAACTAGTAAAGCCAATATGGAAAACAGTTTGGAGATTCCTCAGAAACCTGAATGTAACCCTACCATATAACCCAGCCATCACACTCCTTGGAATTTACCCAAAGGAAATTAAATTGGCAAATAATAGTTGTCTGCACCTCAAGGTTTATTGCAGCTCAATTCACAATAGCTAAGATATGGAATCAACCTAAATGCCCATCAACAGAAGACTGGATAAAGAAATTATGGGATATGCACTCTATAGAATACTATACAGCAGTAAAAAAAAATGAAATCCGGTTATTTGCAACAAAATGGAGGAATCTGGAAAACATCATGCTGAGTGAAATAAGCCAGTCCCAAAGGGACAAATATCATATGTTCTCCCTGATCAGTGACAACTAACTGAGCACCTAAAATGAAACCTGTTGAAGTGAAATGGACACTATGAGAAACGGTGACTTGATCAGCCCTTGTCCTGACTGTTGAGGAACAACTTACTATTTTATTCCTTTGAGTATTTTTTGTTCTACTTAATACCATTGGTTGAACTCTTTAATTAACACACAATTATTCTTTTTCGTTTAAGTTTAACTGAAAAGTGGTCCCTGTTAAATATAAGTGTGGGAATAAGAGAGGGAGGAGATGCACAGTTCGGCACCTGCTCATTCAGACTTACCTTTAATGACAGAGTTAGAAACGTGCCAGGGGATTCCAATTCAACCCCATCAAGGTGGCATCTACCAATGCCATCTCACTAGTCAAAGTGATCAGTTTCAGTTCATAATTGATCATAATGATAGGATTAAGTGTGATGGATCACATAAAAAAGACTAGTGTCTGCTAATAATAACTGATAGAATTAAAAAGGAGAGAACAATCCAACATGGGAAGCGGGATACACAGCAGATAATAGAATGGCAGATGTCCTAAACAGCACTCTGGCCTCAGATACAGCCCTTAAGGCATGTGGATCTGGCTAAAAAGCCCATGAGAGTATATCAGGCATGGAAAGCCAAGACACTCTGGCAAAAATAAAATGACCTAAATGAAAGATCTCTGTGAGTGAGATCCCAGTGGAAAGAACAAGCCATCAAAGAAGGAGGTACCTTTCTCTGAAGGGAGGAAAGAACTTCCACTTTGACTATGGCCTTGTCTAAATAAGATCAGAGTTGGTGAACTCAAGAGGCTTCCTTGACAGCTCATGACAAGAGCCTTGGGTGATTACTGATGTCATACATAAGAGTGTCTATTGTTAAATCAACAACAGGAGTCACTGTGCACTTACTCCCCATGTATGATCTCTGTCCTTAATGTGTTGAACTATGTGAATTAATGGTATAACTAGTACTCAAACAGTACTTTATAATTTGTGTTTCTGTGTGGGTGTAAACCGTTGAAATCTTTACTTAGTACATACTAAGTTGACCTTCTGTATATAAAGATGATTGAAAATGAATCTTGATGAAGAATGGGATGGGAGAGGGAGTAGGAGCTGAGATGGTTGTGGGTGGGAGGGAGATTATGGGGGAAAAGGCTGCTTTAATCCAAAAGTTGTACTTTGGAAATTTATATTTATTAAATAAAAGTTAAAAAAAAAAAAGAAATGTGTTATTCTCTGTGCTGACTCCACATCTATGGGATCTGGGACAGAGTAAAAAGGAGGCATTTCCAAAAATGTGACAGGGTTCCTACCATTTAGAGCCTCAAAATAATGTGACAGAGGATTTAATGCATACAACAATTAGAAAACATACAAAACCATATTTAACAGTACTAAAAGTGGTGTGCTGGAGCATCCTCATACTGGCTCTAATGAGACAAGAGTTACATTCTTCAGGAATTTTGCAAGATACTGGTAGCATGAAATTGGTCATCATGGGAGTATTTACACCACAAAAATTGGCAAAGCTGACAAATCTGAGCTCTTTTTCTTTCCTAAAAAGCTACTTTACAAGCACACCACTGATTAAATTTTAAAAGTTAGTGGCAAACTGCATCACTGGGGATAAATAATATGATTCATTTTATGAATAAATATACAGAAATAGGATTTATATAATTCTAGTCTAAAAATTCATCTTTTACAAGCAATATTTGACCAAAAGGCTCATGTGCTTGTTCAACTATTTCCTATCCCTAACAATAATAATATAAGAATTCTAACAAATACACTGTTTTTTTTTAGTCATACTTCAATCAAGAAATTCTATGCAAGATATTTCTCTACATCACCACAAATGCAAAGTTTCAACTCACCTACAGTCTGGAAAAAAAAAAAACTGATTACACCATTATATGCTCAACAGAATCAAGTGAGATTTATGTGAATGATCACAGTTTTATGATTGAAGATGAAAAGCCTAATCGAGAGGTGCTTTGCATTTCAGAGGTCACTAAATCTGCAATTTGTAGAGTTTGAAAGTGTTCAAGGAGGGCCCCATCAACCCTCTACTGCCAAGGCAGGCTTCTAATGAAAGCCAGGTAAAATGTTTCTGCAACTCACAAATCAAGTGCTTGTACTGTGAAGGCAAGTTAAACAAATCACAGATTATTGTGGCTTGATTGCCTTGATGTTAGTTCATAGATCACAAGCAATGGAGCTCTGTCTCCTGACCTAACATTTCTGTCATTGTGCCTCAAAAATTTGCAAGAATACACTGAATTCCAGTTCCATAAAAAACTCATCACCTCAAAACACACATCAAAGGTTTTGGATCTCAGCAAGATTCTCAGCAAAGAAGTTAATAAGATCTAAATTCTCCAAATATAGTATTTGAAAGTGGCACCAATAACCA